AGGGATCAGAGGGTCTTTGCTACACTCCTGAGCGAGCGTAGCCCTCTGCTCTACTTCATCCTACACACCAAGCTTGCCTCAGTGTCTCCGTTCACAAACAACATCAACAAATGGCGCCCGAACAGGGACCCGAAGGTAAGACATTGGGGATGGGTAGGACCGAAAGGGTTTTGCCAGCGCAGAGTACGCAGAACTTTCGGCAATAGAGTCAGAGTCATGGGGAATAGCCGGTCGATGCAGAGTCAATATATAGCTGTCTTGAAATCATTGTTAAAGAGTTCAGGGGTAAAAGTGAAGAATGAGGCTTTTGAAAAAATTGAAGCAATTCAGCAGCACTGTTATTGGTTTAACACAGAAGGAAAACAGCAGTTAAATCTTAAGTTGTGGAAACAAGTTGGAAGGTCATTAAGGAGGGCTCATCCACAGGGAAATGCAATAGAGGCTGATGTGTGGGCTATTTTTAATTTAGTAACGTCAGCTTTACAGCCTTTTCAGTCTGATTCTGAAGATTGTGAAGAAATTCATTCCTATGAAGTCACAAAGTGCTGCTCCAGGAGCTGAGTGTTTAAATCCTGAGCCTCTCCCTCCTGGGAAATCACTACAACCTGAGCCGCTCCCATTAGAGGTCACTGAACCGAGGGAGTCAAGAAAAGGACAGAAGACTAGCGGGCAAAATGAATTAGGAGGTTATGAAAGAATAACCTCAGCCAGCGATTCAGAGCTACAGGATTCATCTTCTGCTGGTTCGGAAGAGGATCGTTACCCACCCCCCCCTTCCCCAAGTTAAGGAAAAGAAGGGTGAAGAGAAGGGAAACAGAGGTGAAAGAGCTTTTGTGGAATCTAAAAGAATTATTACTTACAGTAGTAAGGAAAAGAAAGGGAATAAAAGTCCTCAGGAGTTGGTCATTAGTCATTCATCAGCACTAGTCTTTAATCAGGTGTTAGCAGCTGAGACTCCAACACCCACCTGAGGACACAAAGAGCTGCTAATGCTCAATACCTTCAAGGGTTAAATTTAAACAGATTATAGATTAATTAATTTATATATATATTATTAATTATAATATTATATAATTACATATGTTATTAATTTTTATATATTAATTAATATAGAATTAATTTATACAGATTATAGATTAATTCCTTATTATTAAAATACAATAGCTAAGGCAGTATTAGCCCCAGGGCAATATCTGCAATTGAAATCCTAAAGGTGGGAAGAAGCCAGGAGAGTGGCGATGATAACGCCCAACAAAATCCACCTGGATGTAATTTTGGCCAAAACCTTTGAATTTCAGAAAATTATGTCAAAATTGTCATATACAGCGGGGCCTTGACTTACGAGTTTAATTCATTCCGTGATGGAGCTCGTAACTCAGATTACTCGTATGTCAAATCATTAAAGTGAACGAGTGAGACACGTGATGCTGGGCTGATGTTGTGACGTTCACTGTGACGTTCGCTGCGCCAACTAGCGATGGGGTATCTGAAGCTGGCTTGTAACCCGAATTTTAGCTCGCAACTCAAAGCAAAAAATCAGCCGAGAGACGGCTCGTATCTCAAAAAACTCATTAGTCGGGACACTCGTAAGTCAAGGCCCCACTGTATAAGAAACAACCTCCACTAGGTATGTTAGGGAAAATGTGCAGAATTTTAAAATAGTGTTAATCCTGTATCATGAAAGGGTAAGATGCAAATCGACCTAATGGTGGAAAGACCAGTGGCTGTGACACGCACTGACCACCAGGGGGCAGACACTCAATGCAGGAGCTGCCCCCTGGTGATCAGTGCGCTCCCACGGGGGCGGGGGGGGGGGGGGGGTGGCTGGGGGGGGGGGGGCGCTACTCAGCCAGAAGCCGGGCATGTCTGGGAGTCAAGACAAATTTGCCAAGTTTCAGACCAGGCTCATCGGACCCGGCTGTGGAGGGTAGTCAGCTGGTCTGGGTTCTTGGCTGACTGTTCTGGTGAGTGACCCCTGTCACCTGCCCAGCTATGGTCCCCAGCCAAGCTGGCCGTGCCCTTACCTGGGGGCAGATGAGCTGAGCGAAAGCAGATGGAGCCCACAACACCCGTGGCAGCCTCTGGGGTCACAGAGTGGGGGTTGTGATGGAGGCAGTGGCCAGGCCGTCCTGTTGCCTCTGCGGCTGATGTCCTTTCTGCCCCGAGACAGTGGCCGGCCCCATCGAGGGCAAGTACAGGGCCAGGTGCAGGAGCTGAGGAGCCACCAGGTGCAGCTGGAGTGGCCCTGGAGGCAGCAGGTGTCCCCGGGACAGGACAGGGGCTCAGCTGCCTGTCGGGGACGAGAGCTCAGTCCAGCAGCTGCCAGGTGGTGGGGGTGTGCACTCCCAGCTCCCTGCTCACGGGGCCCTGAGACCCTGTGAGCAAGGCTGAGGCAAAAGTGTGTTTTTGTGACTTTGGTCTGGGAGCCACATGCCATTTGCATAGCACAGGCCAGCCTTGCTGTGAAGGAGGGACCCTTCAAGGGCCTGGGAGACAGAGGTGGAGTGGGGGCCACCATGGGGGCAGATGGCCACACTGGGGAGGTGGGGGGGGGAGTGAGCAGCACCTGGTGGTGTGGGGTCCCCTCCCCACTGTATCTCAGTTCCAGCTTCTCACCCAGCGACGCCAGGATCTGTCCCATGCCCATCACGGATGCCACAGAACATGGGCAGTTCACGGTGTTTTCTCTGGGGTTGTGGGGTGGGGGCTGCACAGGGAAAGAACACAAAACTGAAGACACACACCTTCCTTCCTTAAAAAAGCATGAAATAGAGAAAAGAATAATAATGGATACTTATCATTGAAATCCCCTAGTTCATGTAGACTCTTCACAAGCCTGGTCACGGCAAGGGAAGGGTCTTTTCTTTTGTTTTATTTTTCTTTTTTGATGTGTTTTTTATTGATTTCCAAGCGAACGGGAGAGGGAGAAAGAGAGAAACATCAATGAGAGAGAATCATTGATTGGCTGCCTCTTGCAGGCCCTGCACTGGGGATCAAGCCTACAACCCGGGCATGTGCCCTGACCAGGAATTGAACCCTGACCTCCTGGTTCATAGGTCGAAGCTCAACCAATGAGCCACACCTGCCGGGCGGGAGAGGGAAGGTCATGGTCCCAGGTGCTGGGTTTGGGTGCCCCCTTCAGGAGCCCTCCTTCAGGAACAGGTGCTGTGCTAGGTCCCTCGGGCTGAGGGGTGATGGGCCCTCACCGCGTGTGCCTGCTCCCTGCATTGACGTCCGCTCTGTTGTAAGGAAAGCGGGGCCTCTGGTTGCTGTGGCCCCCTCGCCTCCCCAGGCAGACTCTTACCTGTTCCCTGGAGCCTCGCTGGACTCCCACCCATGGGCCCATGAGGGTCGGTGCTCCTGGCCTCGGTGGACGTTGCCTGTGAACCTGTGGCCAGGAATGACAAACACGGCCTGCCTGCTCTGTTCACGTGGGTCCATGGCCCATCAGACTCCCCATAAGAAACATGTAGTTAAGGATTTCAGACGGGTCAGGGGAGGGTTAGACCCGCAGACCCAGGTACAAGGCCAGGCACCAGGAGCTGCTTCGAGGAGGGCTTCGCACACACTGTGAGGTGAGGTGCACCAGCAGCTCTCAGCAGGGTGGCGAGGCCCTGTGTCCTGGTCACTCTCGGTGCCGCCTGCCCAGGCTCAGTGGGAGGGGGTGGCCTTGGGGGGAGGCCCATGCCTGACCCCATGCCTCCTGCTCAGGCAGCCGAGTCCACGCAGGACAGTGGGGCTGCTCGAGCTCTGAACTGGCTCCCGGGCCCCACGCCCTCTGCCTCCCTTGTCACCTCAAGGCCTGGCAGATGCTGTTCACCGAGAGACGCGCGTTCTAGCCACCCTGAGCCAGAGGCGCCGGTGCTGACCCCACTCTGAATGACACTCCAAAGGCCAGGTCACCCTCCCACTTCATAGATTGGAAAGAGGCAGAGACCTTGGGGGTCTTGCCTTAGGACACACAGTTGTGAGGGCAGAGCTGAGACTCAAACCCTTGTGGACAGACCTGGCCCCCACATGCTGTGCCCAGGCGAGATGCCAACGCTACACAGGCAGCAAGAAGGGTGAGGGCGACCAGTGCCCAGACTGAGGCAGCACAGGTGTGTGCACTGGCACCCGGGCACACACAGGCACACACGCACACGCGTGCGCACACAGCATGCGTGCGCACACACACGCACGCAAGCACACATGCACACAAACACACGCGCACACACACGGGCGCGCACACACACACCATGCACGCACGCATGCACACACGCACACATGCACACAAACACGCGTGCGCACACACACACACACACATACACGCACACGCACACACGCGCGCACACACACATACATGGACACGCACACACGCACATACATACACGCACACACACACACACGCACACATACACGGACACATACACGGACATGCACACACGCGTGCACACACACGCGCACACACGCGTGCGCACACACACACACACACACGCACGCCCTCCCTGGCTTTCACCTCTGAGGCTACAGAGGTCGGAGGAATCAGGGAGGAGCCAGGAGAAGACAAGGGGCTGGTGGGGGCTATTCCCAGTCCTGGTGAGTCTGTCTCAGTCCCTCTCCCTGGCAGGAACCTCACTGGACTGATGCCAGATTCTGCTTTCTCGGGCTGAGTGTCTGTGGCTGAGGGTTCTCTGAGGCCCTCCTGGAACTCTGCTTTCAGTGATAAGGGGGATGAGGCATGTCGGCTTCAGGTTTGTCTGGACACAAACTTTATTAAAACGAGGCCAAAAACACCTTTGGGGACATTGATGTTGACATCCCGGCAGCACTTAAGGAACGGTTTGTCTATTACCTCTCCTCATAAAAGTGGAGGATGTTTGAGCAGTTACTTCTGTACTAATTACACTCTTGGGGAGGGAAAGGGGCCAGCAGGCTTCCTCTGGAGCCCCCTCAGAGCTGGGGTATGAGGTATGTGGTGCCTACACTTGCCCTGTGGCTGCTGAGGTGCGATTTAGGGCTCATGACTCATCCTCCCTGCAAACACCGGGCTTCTCCCCTGAGTGTGTCCTCTGGTGTTTGGTGAGAGATGACTTATCTGTAAAGCCTCGACCACACTCCCTGCACACATAGGGCTTCTCCCCTGAGTGTGTCCTCTGGTGTCTGATGAGATGTGACTTCTGTGTAAAGCCTGGCCCACACTCCCTGCATACATAGGGCTTCTCCCCTGAGTGTGTCCTCTGGTGTCTGATGAGATGTGACTTCTGTGTAAAGCCTGGCCCACACTCCCTGCACACACAGGGCTTCTCCCCTGAGTGTGTCCCCTGGTGTGTGATGAGATGTGACTTCTGTGTAAAGCCTCGCCCACACTCCCTGCATACATAGGGCTTCTCCCCTGAGTGTGTCCCCTGGTGTGTGATGAGATGTGACTTCTGTGTAAAGCCTGGCCCACACTCCCTGCACACACAGGGCTTCTCCCCTGAGTGTGTCCCCTGGTGTGTGTTGATATGTGACCCATCATTGAAGCCTTGCCCACACCCTCCAGGCTTGATTGTTACAATTTTTGACATTCTTACTCCCACAGATAATTTGCCTGTGTTCTTTGGATTAACATTCTGGCCTGTGCTGGGCTCTTCCTCCATTATTCTTTCACTCTCACTAGAGCTCCCTGTTTGTCCATTGGGAGGCTTGAAAGAGGCCCTTGAAGTTCCCCTGTGCCTGATCCTTTTAAACAAAGGTTTGGACCTTCCTTTGACCTCTTGACCTTCAGCTTTGTCATTCCAGCCATGTGGACCAGGATGTTGTTGCTGCTGCTGATTCTGATTCTCTGGGCTGGGTTCCTCTGACTGGAGGTGTTTTCCTACAGATGCTCCTGGCAGAATCTCAGAGGGATGATTGCGTTTCACATGTTGGCTGAGGAATGTCTGATTGGAGAAGGCCACAGAGCAGGAGGGACATGGGTGGATCTCTGGCTTTGGTTCTGCTGAAGGAGAAAGTTTTGGTCAGGGCAGGTGTGGGCAAGGCTGCCTGTGCCGTACGCTCTGTCTCCTGGTAAGACCTGTCCCCGGAATCATTCTTACTGTGTTGACAGTGGAATGTCTGCCTCCCACAAAGTGTTCCTTCACAGTCTATTTTTCTTTTTCTTTGTCTGCACTACTCTTCTTCAGAAATCCAGAGACCCCATATCGAAAGTCTTTTCTACAGCCCTGGCCAGTGTGAATCAGTGGATAGAGCCTCAGCCTGTGGACTGAAAGGTCCCGGGTTCGATTCCCATCAAGGGCATGCGCTTTGGTTGCAGGCTTCTCCCCGGCCCGGGCCCTGGTCAGGGATTGTGCAGGAGGCAACAAATCGATGTGTTCCTCTCACATTGATATTTCTCTCTGTCTTTCCCTCTCTCTTTCACTCTCTATAAAAATCAATGGAAAAATATCCTTGGGTGAGGATTGAAAAGAAAAAAGGTCTTACAGATCAAGGACCATCAGAAGCCATGTCACTCCTTATATGGGTGGGACTATAGTGACCTTTCCACATACATGTATCTTCTAAGTCATGTTAAAGAGAAAAACCACAGGCCTGGCCAGGTAGCTCAGTGGTTGAGCATCAACCCATGAACCAGGACGTCACCAGTTTGAGTCCTGGTCAGGGCACATGCCCAGGTTTTGTGCTCTATCCCAGCAGGAGGCAGCTGATCCATGTTGATATTTCTATCTCTCTCTTCGTTTCCCTTCCTCTCTCTCTCAAATCACTAAAAATATTTAAAAATAGAGAAACCATAGGCCCCAACTAGCAATTGCTTCTCTCTCAGTTTTCCACAAATCATAAAATGGAAATATGTCTTTCCTCACACAGTATTCCTAATTGATTTCTTTCAGTGTTAGCCTATTTCAAATACAATACAAAGTCCTGTTTCAAAATATTTTCCCAACCATGCCCTAGCCAGTTTGGCTCAGTAGATAGAGCATCGCCTTGGGGACTCCAGGGTCCTGGGTTTGATTCTAGTCAAGAGCATGTACCTTGGTTGCAAGCCCAATCCCCAGCCCTGGTTGGGGTGTGTGTGGGAGGCAAGCTATTGATGTCTCTCTCTCTCTGTCTCTCCCTCTCCCTTCTACTCTCTCTAAAGAAAAAATCATTGGAAAAATATCCTCGGGTGAGGATTACCAAGAACAATAAAAATATTTCCCCAACCTGCTTCTTACACTCCTGACTCCCATCCCTCTCCAGCCAGTCCGCCTTCCTCTCTCACTTGCCATTGAAATAATCTGAGAGGGGATTCCCCACTGAAGTTTATTTTCCAAAAAAATTTAACAAAGCATAGTTTTAGAACATGCCACTCTGCAGTTGAAAACTGCCCAATTGTCCCGTCTCACTCAAGAAAGTCCCCAGTATCTTAGCTTGGATCATAGGCACTGTATTTCCAGGCTGCTAGGCATCTGTCCAACTTCCATTCTTACCCTCTGTACCGAGACTGAGACGGGAGTAGCCCTCAGCCAGATCAACACCCCAGCTCTTTCTTTCCCTGCACCAGCTGCTTCCTCTGCCCAGGACCCTGTGCCACAGGTGTTGTAAATGTTGTCTCCTGAGAAAGCCCTTCCCTGACCTTCAGAATCCAACACACACACCCTCCCCTCACACTGATCCCTAGGCACTTGTCCTGGGCCCGTTTTCTCTGAAGCGCTAATCACTGTGTAATATTAAGCACATGCACATATGTATGCCTGGGCTACCCTCCTTCACCAGCCAGCTGCTCAGGAGCAGTGATTCTGATCATCATGTTAATCTGTATTTCCAGCTCCCAGAAGCCTTTGTGGCACCGAGTAGGAATTCACATGACAAGTCACTGAAATAATGAATGAATGCATGTTAACACACACATTTCATTTAGAAATATGCAGTAAATGAAGAAGAAACAGCTAAAAGTGTTTTTTTAAAAAAACCCACAGACCACCTAGGTGAGAGAGCTGGTAAGTGCCTAAAAACTTCTTTTTTTGCCTCTAACCCTTTCAGCACTATATGAGGCTGTGCATTTTGTGCATGAAGTATTTTTAAAAATGGAACACAAATTGGCCCTGGCCAGTGTGGCTCAGTTGGTTGAGCATTGTCCCCTTCACCCAGAGGTAGCCAGTTTGATTCCTGGTCAGGGCACATGTCTGGGTGGTGGACTTGATCCCCAGTAGGGGGCGTGCAGGAGGCAGCAGATTGATATTTCTCTCCCTCTCCCTTCATCTCTGTCTCTAAAACCAATAAAAGCATATTTTTAAAAATTAGAACAAAAATAAAAATATTAAAATTGTTCCTAAGAATCAAAGACCTATGTGATGAGCCATCAATTTCTGAAGCATTTGATTTGAAGCTTTGCTGACTCTAGAGTGGATTTTACTCCACTTGAGAGTTGGACTCTGAAAACTTCTAAGAATTCTTTCTTTCCATGTTGAAGAAGAGTGGTGCCCACCTCTCCCGGCCACAAGCTCTGTCTTCCACTTGCTGCCCCACTTGATGCCCAGCTTTTGGCCATACTCTTCTCCATACCAGACCAGCAGCTCACAGCCCGTCCTCACGACCCGGCAGGTTTGGTAGAAAATCTGCCTGTGATATTGAAAGGCCACCAGGTTCTGTTCTTCGTCATCCCGGGCGCAGTTCACATACCTGGCGTTGAGGCAGATGAAAGGAAAGAAAACCACAGGCGATGAGTTTCCACTACCTGTCATATTCGTGTCCAGCTCCTCACTGACGCTTAAGGCCCTCAGCACTGATGGCACCCACACCCATGCTCCTGAGGAAACTTCTGTTCAATGTCCAAGCCTCTGTCACAATGTCATGTGAATTCCTGTCTCTAAGTCCTGCTCACAGTGCTCATCCTGCCTAATGCCATTTCCAAAGCCTCATTCCAGACTTCCCCATCAAACCCGGTGGCCTCTAGCTTCTCTAAGCTGTAAGTCAGGTTCTGTGTTACACCACAGAATTCGGGGCTTGATCTAGGACTCACATCATTCAACACTCAGTCCAAGTCTACCTTCTCTTCAGAGGCCTTTGTCGAGTCTCCCCACACTTTATTGAAGGCATCATTCAGTTGCCTCCCCCAGGTTCCCACAGAAATGTGGAGGTCTCTCTGTCTTAGAAAAATAACACAGAACAATAGTAGTTTATTCATAATCTGTCTCCCCTGACACAAGAGAGCCCCTCAGGAAAGGGCCATGAGCACTATTACTCTGCAGGCTCCAACATCCAGTTCTAGTTAGTACTGAGTCTGGGATGATGTGCTGCCCTCACAGGTTTAGACTATCCTTGGTTCAAGGCTATCTTGGCACTGGGCACTTCTTGAAAAATAGGAAAATTAGAGTTAAATGTTTATGAAATAAAATGTTTCATGTCCATCTGCAGTAAGTCCTCCCTAGGGACATGGATTGTGTGATCTGTGTAAGTAATGAATTCCTTCCTCTAAACTGGAATATAGTAAGTGTTTAACTAATGTCAGTTAGATAAATCACAGAGTAATCCAGGGTCCTCAAGGTTTTTCCCAGTGCCCAAACTAGAGACTTCTATTTTGAGGACATATGCTATACTTTTACCTCCTTTTTTCCTAAATGTCTCTAGATGGTAAAGATCACTGTATGGAGAAAAAAGGGGAACAGAGGACTGAGGGAGACCATTAGGGAGGCATGATGGGAAGGACAGACGTGTGGGCAGTGAGGCATGAGTGTCCCCTCTGGCACCCAGAAACCTAGTGACCTTACCTCATCCAGTTGGCCTGAGATGTATCCTTTCCGTCCACATACTCATAGCAGTTTCTCCCTTTGGTGATCTGCATTTCAGGAAAAGAAGTTAAAGGCCGTGTGTGTGTGTGTGTGTGTGTGTGTGTGTGTGTGTGTGTGTGTGTGGTTGTGTGTACATAATAGGATAATTACTTTGCTCTACTGTCATCAAATCTCTTTCAGCCTGCATGGTGATTCAACTGCCAATGGTGATCACAGGATATTTTTCTTACTCATCATCTACACGTCGGAGTCAATTTGTCCACTAAGCAGGAGCCCCACAAGGGAGGAGTCTGTACCACTTTGCTCCCATTTACCCTCTGATCCTTAGAGAGGAGCTCCATGTTCATGCAAAGTCCGCTCAGTACACAGAGCTAACTCACCATATGGTCCCAATCCATGTCCCAGCATGAAGAAGGTGGAGGCCCCCCCCCAGCCACAGGAGGGATGGGAAGCCAGAGGACAGGGAAGAGGTAAAGTTCTCACCAGCCAGGAGTAGCCACTGTTGGCTGTGGCTTCATCTTCTGTGATCTGACCCTCATAAGGTCCAAAGTGCAGGCCCACGGGCAGATCACATTCCTCATTCCACACTCCAAGCCCAGCCTCAGGGATGCCTGATGGTCCGATTCTCAACCCAGGGGGCAGAGTGAGGGCTGAGCGGTTGGCATGCCCCTTGTCCACGGCACTGTCTTTTACAAACGTAGGAGGCCCATGCACAGCACAGCTGTCGATGAAGAAGTTCTGACACTTCTCACAATCTGGAGGCAAGAGCAACAGGGAAGAGGGAGGGTGCAGTGCATGTTCCTGGACATGAAGAGCTTCAGAAAGAACTCACATCAGTGAGCCTCAATCCTGTACTCCCGGTCACGAGAGGAAGGGAATGATTTGGGCACCCAAAGACCAGGTGAAATTATTGCATCAAGGACATAACATGCTCTTTGGTGAGGGTCAGCTTACAGAGGTAGTCATCGCCCTGGGGCTCGCTGATCTCTTGGTAGACATGGCCCTTTCTCTCTCGTAGGCTATACATCTTCACTTCGATCTCCTTTCTCCTGGGGTCTACATGGGAGAAGGGCAGGTGAACAAGAGGGTGAGGTCTGGAACATGAGTCCCTGTCTTGTCAGAAAACACACAATGTCCTCTCATTGAATGGTCACCCGTTCTTTTATATTATCTGGTATTTTCCTCTGTTAACTAAAAGACTAGCACTCCACACTGACTACCGATGGCTGATTCAATTATAGTTTCTAGATGATCCCAGTATGAGGCTCAACCTCCCAAGCTTTAGTCATTCATAAAGTATGTATTGAGGGCACATTATGTGTTAGGCACTGAGTAAAGACCTGGGCACACAACCCCAAGAGAATATGGTTGCTATTATCACAGATAGATTTATTGGACAACTTGCATGTGTCAATTGTTTGAGATTTAATTTAATGCTTTCAAACTATATGTGAACCATGTTTCCTGACGTTCACTTTACACATTAGCACTCAGGAGTTCAGAGAGTTTGTAAGATTAGCTCAAAGCTTCAGTGCTAACTCCAGTTTCAAATACAGGCCTATGCAAAGTCCACCCCACATACCTAGGCTATACTGATCAGCCTTTCTAGAAGAATTAGTGGAACTGAAATCTCCAAATTATGTAACTTACCCAATTTTTATCTAGGGTGCTGTCCGGAGGGACTTGCTTCTCCAGGAGGGGGCACTGGTTTCTGAGTCTGCTCTGAGCCACTTGTGGTCAACAAATTTTCTGTTCCTGACAATTCCTTCAAAGTAGACTCATTACTTAATGACGTCCTGGACTTTGCCTTCAATGTTGAAGTCCCATATTAAAAGGTAACATGCATTTATTTAATTATGTAGGGTTTATGATATATTTTCACATACATGACTTCAATGAACACTTCAACAACTCTGAAATACCTGGGAAGTATGAATATTAGAGGAAAAAGAAATGGCCAATGTGGGTTGTGAATTGAAGACTAGAACCCATGCCTTAAAGATCTTTTTTTTATAGAACAGTGAGAGTGAAGGATACTGGGAAGAGAATAAGACATAGTTGGGCCCTAACCAGTGTAGCTCAGTTGATAGAGTGTCAGCCTGCGGACTGAAGGGTCCTGAGTTCAATTCCGATCAAGGGCGAGTGACTTGGTTGCAGGCTCCTCCTCCCTGGCCCGGGCCCTTGTCTGGGCTTATGCAGGAGGCAACTAATCAATGTGTCTCTCTCACATTGATTTTTCTTCTATCTCTCCCTCTCTCTTCTATTCTCCCTAAAAATCAATGAGAAAATATCCTTGGGTGAGGATTAAGAAAAAAAGAAAGAAAGAAAGAAATAGTTGGCAGAGCCCTGGCTGGTGTAGCTCAGTTGGTTGAACTGGAGGGTTGCCGGTTCCATTCCCGGTCATGGTACATGTCCTGGTTACGGGTTAGATCCCAGGTTGGGGTCTGTGTAGGAGCCAACCGATCCATGTTTTTCTCTCTCACTGATGCTTCTCTCCCTCTCCCTTCCTCTTTCTCTCTAAAATCAATAAAAACATATATTTTTCAAAAGAAATGGCTGGCAGAAACCTATCATGACAATAAGGAAAATTATGCTAAAACTAGAGACCCAGTGCATGAATTCATGCACCAGTGGGTCCCTCATCCTGGCCTGTGGGATCAGGCCAAAACTGGCTCTCTGACATTCCCCGAGAGGTCCTGGATTGCGAGAGGGCACAGGCTAGGCTGAGGGACCCCACTGGGGCACGATCGGGGCTGGGGAGGGACACGGGAGGTTGGCCAGCTGGGGAGGAACCGCAGGAGGGCTCCAGGGTGTGTCCGGCCATCTCACTCAGTCCCGATCAGCTGGACCCCAGCAGCAAGCTAACCTATAGGTCAGAGCGTCTTCCTCCTGGTGATCAGTGCACGTCATAGCAACTGGTCTACCGGTTGACTGTCTGCCCCTTGGTGGTCAGTGCACATCATAGCGAGCAGTTAGTGGCATTAGCATGTCATCAGCATATTATGCTTTGATTGGTTGAACGGGCGACTGGACATTTAGCATATTATATAGGATGTGCAAATTACTATATCATGGAAAGAATATTTGTAATTAGATTAGTTGGTTCCCACCAATTCTGTTTGAATAAGGTTGTGCTACTAGCTAGTTTTCTTCATTTTTCTGACCTATAACATGCTAATTCTTAATGTTATAATGAACATGAAATATAATGGTGTTCACCAAAGTGTTCTGTGAGCTCTTTGATACAGTATGAATGTGAAATTACAGTCCTGCTATCAATGTACCTCTCAGTCATCTCTATATTTGAAATCACATGTAAATTATCTTCATTATTTTTTGACCCTATTCTAGTTTAATTTGTAAATTTTAAAGCACTCTTTCAACAAACATTCAGGGGCCCTCAGGGACCCTGAGCTGGGCCTGGGACTTCTGGAAGAGAAGAATCTGGTGTGAACCAAAGAGCTCACAATGCAGAGGTAGGCAGGCGGAGCAAATGATTCAAACAAGATGACATTGGCCTAATTAGAGCTCAGAGAAAGAAGCCATGCTTCTTACTGGAATGAGCACTCAAAGCCAGTTCCAGATGGATGAGCTTCTATTGAATAGTGTGTCATCTCTATGAAGTCCTTAAGTCACTTTATTATTTATTGTTTCTCAATCGTCAAACCTGAAGCTCCCCAGAGTTGAGAGATGCTTTCTTTTATTTGACTGGGAGGCTCTGATGCTGGGGCTCCTATATCTTTCTTCATCTGGGACCATGCACCGTGCAAACTGCCTATATGTCAGTGAACTTCTGCAAGTCGGAAGTCTTAGTGCATTTCTCACTGCAGCATAGCGTTTGGAATCATCAGTCAGTGAAAGACGTAATCATGTATGGATAAGACAGTGGAAAGTGCATAAAACTATGGAAATTTTAATGAGCTTATAAAGTGGTTTAGAGATGAAGCTATGGATTAGATTGCACGACCACTGATACTGTGATCTCAGACATACAATCAAACATTTCTATATGTCTGAAACCTCAGTTTCCTCATCAGAGATGGTGATAGTTATAGTACCTACCTCATAGGGTTGTGGTAAGGTTTAAGTGAGTTAATTCACGTAGAATTCGTAGAGTCTGAAGCATTGTGAAGATAAAACCCACGGTAGCTACTATTGTTGCTGATGTTTTAACTACTAAGATGATATTGGGCATTTTGTTGAAGAGGTGAGGAAAGGAAGGTGGCAGTTCCTAGGGCGCACTCTGATTTTCCTCCTCTTCCCTGCATTTTCATCCAGGAGGAAGATTTTCTTTTCAACAGGATTTGGGAAATACTCACCTTCTGATGTTTATTCTGTTCCACTCTGAAGGCCACCCAAGAAGGTTTAGCTAAAAGATGGTGAGAAATCAATAATATATATAATTTCAGAGAGGAAGGGAGAGGGCGAGGGAGATAGAGAGAGAAACATCAATGATGATAGAGAATCATGGATTAGCTGCCTCCTGAACACCCCACACCAGGCATCGACCCCACAACCTGGGCATGTGCCCTGACCGGGAATCGAACTGTGACCTCCTGGTTCATAGGTTGACGCTCAATCTCTGAGCCACGCCTTTCGAGAAATCAGTTTTGGTTGGTAATTGTTTCAAAATCTGGAGATTCTTATCTTTCAGAATTCTGAATCAGAGAGTAATCCAAGGACAGACGAAGGATGATTAGAAAATGTTTTCTGAGGTTTCATTAGGCTTATGATTTTATTGGGAGCATCAGCTAATTTCCTTAAATGTTTAAAAATAGACAAAACCCCATCTGTACTTCATCCTCTGTTCAATATATATATTTAAATTGGCCTAGCCTGGCTGGGAGGCTCAGTTGGTTGGAGTATCATCTTGTACACCACAAGGTTTCAGGTTTGATCCTTATTGGGGTGTACACGGGAGGCAACGGATAAATGTTCCTCTCTCACATTGATGTTTCTGTCTCCCTTTCTGTCTCCCTCCCTTCCTCTCCCTAAATTCAATGAATATCCTTGGGTGAGGGTTTAAAAAATAAAATTGCCCTAAAAAGCAAAAAATAAAAAATTAGCCTTTCATGACACAAGTATAATAAAGGTCATGTAACTGCAAAGAATCTCTACTCTGTAACCCGGCCCTTTCTCCTCTCTGTCTTCTGTCTTCACACTGGCCTTGTCCAGTCCAAGGCACCAGGACCACCTTGCCTCCTTTCTTTCTTATCCTTCCTCCTTTGCACATTTGGAATGTGACCACCTTCTCTAATCACTAGATTCTGATCAGCATCACACAGTCTTAGGAACAAAGACTCAGGTCTAGTCACCC